CTGGATTTTAGTGGTGTCTTGTCCCTGTACATCATATTTCTCCGTATAATAGTCACACCAGTCATGTATCTAACTCTATTCACAAGATTAACAAAGGATAGACAAGAAGATGACAGTGGGAATGTATAGGTCTGCAATTTGAAAACTGCAGCCCAATTAAACAAATTACTGCATTAAAAAATTAATTAATTAAATCCTTTAAATTGAAAAATTTCAATTTAAAAAAATAAGTTCAATATTTCAATGATGCTACATTAATTAATCTAATACTTATTATTTTTAAATTCTCATTTTATTCTTTCCCAATACTTTCTTAAACAAAATACCTCTAAATTTTGATATATTATCTGATGATATGGGGGTGCCACATTGCAATCAGTCCTACAAGAAAGCCCACTAGTGGCCAAGCAGTCTTCGTACTCTGAACACTGGGGAGTTCGACTATGGGTTTGCGCTGCACTTGGGCAGACTGGCCACGTGGAGTTTTCCAGGTTTTCTCCACGTCTGTAATGCCTAAATAGAGGTCAATTTCCCTTAAAAAGACCTCTTGGAAGGCATCTCCCCTAGGCAGATTGCCCAAAGTGTTGCATTGCCATAACTTAAAACAAACCTACCAGAAACTGACCAATAATAAGCTTGAATCTATTTCAGTTTATTACTATCAATAATTAGTTGTATAGACTTGACTTCTACATAAAACTGGCATTTGCTTGTTATGGTAGCCAATATCTGTATATATATATATATATATATATATATATTAAAAGCAAAATGTTCTGTCCCCCTAAAACTGAAACCAGCACTTCACAAAGCAGCAGCATTTCAGGTCACACCAGGTCACAGGTGGGAGTGGGATCTACAATCTGTTCATCAAAAGGACCACCCTTTAACTTCCTCTGCAAACTAGCATGAATTCATGAAACAAAGGAAAAGAGGGTCTTTGTGTAAATTTAAAAATTAAGTTAAATGTTTTGAAATTTTCAAATTGTAAAATCAGTTTTTAAAAATGTTTTAAAACTTAAAAAAATTTTTTTTAAATAAAGAACTAAGTAAAAACTTATAGAACTCACAGCATGTAATAGTCACTTATAGAGGAAAAGGTGGTATTATGGAACACTGTGGGTATTATGGAACCACCCCATTTCGAACTGATGATAAAGGCGAACTGTAGCGGATTGTGGCTGAACTGAACTAGGCAGACATCCATAGCAAGGGGAAAACTCATTTTACTTCAGTTAAATGTCCGTATTTAATCAGCAAATTTGTTTTTTTTTTTCAAAATTTGCAAGTTTTGAATGCTAAGTGAATTTAATTATTTTTAAAATATAAATCATGTAGTTCTTCTCAATATCTGGTGTGGTAGCTGATGAATACACAGATTTAGTATGTGTCTCTTTAATCCGAATTAGTAAAAATGGTAGACTCTCTCTCAGCTATTAGGTTAGGTACTCCTTTATTGCAAATCACAAATGCATTTCGGGCCTATATGAGCACCTCTTCAGTGTAAACGTTCAGAAGACAGTAACACTTTTCTAATTGTATGACACTCACAATGATATTTTATATAATCCAAAAAAAAACACATTCATGTGTATTGAATGACACTATTACACAGGAGTTATCATTGTGAGTGTCATACAATTAGAAAAGCATTACTCTGTCTTCTGAGCATTTACACTGAAGAGGGGCTCATATAGGCCCGAAATGCATTTGTGATTTGCAATAAAGGAGTACCTAACCTAATAGCTGAGAGAAAGTCTACCGTTTTTACTAATTTGGATTAAAGAGAGACATACTAAATCTAAATAAATTGTGTAGTTGTAGGTTCACTGGTGCATGTATTCTGTTCCAGAGACTTAGGGGTACATATTAATCTGTGTGATGTTCACATTTTTTAAATTTTGGTCTTGACAGACATAAGCTAATTCAAGATGGCGATGCATGAAATATGGACCCCATTGGTGCTTTTACAGTAATATGGAACTCAACTCCTCCGAACTCTGTCTTTGCAAGCAGACATTTCGTCCAGAGCAATTTATGAAAAAGACACTAGGTAGAAAGTCAATTCTTCCTAGAGAATATCGAAAAAGAGCTGCTGGAATATATATTGTTGATGGAGGTCATTTTTCTATTAAAAAAGCACTTTTGCGATAAAATACATTGGAGTAAACAATTTTGTAATAATTTAACATTTTTTGTACTTTCCTATTTGTTTTTGGCTACATTAAAGCATTTTTTGAAAATATATAGTAAGGTTCCATATTACCACCTGATTTTCTCTAAGCCTACTTTGACTTTTTGTACAAAACCTTCAAAAACCATACTTATAGTTACACTAGCAAAAAATCCAATTAGGAACATTTAGTTTAATAGTTACCAGTACTTTTCGCACAAAAAATGTGGGTGTAGTTATGATACCTTGTTTATAATTCACTAAAATGTAATTGGGGTTCCATAATACCACCTTCTCCTCTATATGAAACTTATAGTTGGTCTTATGTGACCTCAGTAGTTTGTCAACCAAAAAGTTAATTAATTTTGTTCAGCAGTGAGACAGCAGAAACACAGATAAACAGTAATAAATGTATTGAATTCATGACATAATAGTTTGAAAGTTATGTTAGAAGTTCCAACTGCTTATTAGTGGGGAGGAAAGTCAAAAATTATCTAAAGAAAGGCTATCAAAACAGTGTTATAACATCTTTAGGCATGCATTATTGATATAAGTTACTTTTAGGTAATTTTAACTAAAAGTAACTTCTACTTATTGTGTATCTGATAAAATAAAAAATTAAAGCCAAATGCAATTGATGAAATATGAAATTAAATTAAAATTATTGTTTCATATTGAAATATGAAACAATAACAGGTATAGTAATAATTTTATATTTTATCAACAGCATAGTATATAAAATACTATTACTATTCCTGAACAGGAAAGTATATAAAATGAATATTTAGAATTTCATGCATATTTTTTTTCATTTTATAACAATAATAATAATTAATAATAACATAATAATAAGTATAAGNTCTTGTATAATGTTGAAAAATTAACTGTTACTTTGGTAGCATCATTTACAACTAAATTTAATGAATGAGAGAGATGCACAAGGTACAGAAAAAGCTCTAGAATTTATTTTCGTTAAATTTACGATTTATGTATCCGTCTGTCATAAAAATTTGTCTTTCCACTTTTTTCCCAAGACTACAAATATTAGAGTACAAAGTAACCGGTTTCGACTTATTTCTACTTAAGAAGTAGTTAAATAATTAAGCGATTAGGGAATTGGGGACATAAACAAAACCCTGATGAAAGAGCCGAAATTTTACTTCAATAAAAGCTTAACTGAACCATTTCTAGCTGAGTACAGTGGAGACTAATTTCTTTGTATTATTAATGTAATAAAGACAGAAATTTTTCCAGTTCAATGAGAGTGACCGAAAAGTTGTAAATTTTGGAAATTTCTGAGGACACTTGGTCCTAAAATGAATTAGTTAGAAAACAAATGATGGACAATCTATTAAGTTTAACATATTTAGATTTTTACAGCTATGATGAGAAATGTTTAAAATCTACAACAGCTCTGTCGCGTCCTTTGAGATATACTAGTGATGCGACAAAACAGATATTTGACATTGACCGGTATCGGCACCCTGGGGATTTGGCAGTCCGCATGTATGCACACTCTGCAACCATCTTCGATTCCATTCGTAGGGAGCTATTTGACTAAGTGCATTGTTTTAAGATTTAAAAAGTAAAGAATATTTTATATTTTTATGTATGTTTCTTTACAAAGCTATATTTAATTACAGTAGAGCCTCGAAATCTCTGCCTAATGTGGACCAAAGGGTGGCCGAGTTTGTGAAAATGCCGGGTTATTGGGAATGGGGTTAAAAAAGGATACGTATGCGTGTTTCCTCAGAAAATATTGTACTGTACTTGTATGTATTGTTTGCTTGAGAATACAACAGAGAATAAACTGCCCAAATACCCTTAAACAAAGGAATGTCCTTTATGAAGGCATAGAGCCATTACTACATGAAAATGAAAATTAATGAATACACTGTGTACAGTAATTTACCTGATAAGACAGACCTCAGAAAAATACTTTACGAGAGCTTTTATACTTTTATAAAGCTGTCTGTAATGAAAATTAATTAACTAAGGATTTTTTTTGCCCTGCCAAGGTGTGGCCGAGTTATCCGGAGTGCCAGGTTATCGAGTGCAGAGTTTTCGAGGCTCTACTGTATAATTTTCAGGTATGTACTGGTACATCCACCACACATTTTATTTCACTGAGTCAGTTTTTATTATTTATTTTTAATTGTAGCCTTTATATCGTGGCTAGCGATTCAGAATGTAATTGTGATATTAAAAATGCATTTAGAGAAGTCTGAGAAGGTTTTACTGGCTTATCGAATAAATGATACGAATGGACCCTAGAGGGCCTAGACCATCACTGATGCGCAATTGACTGATTGCCCCTGGATGTCAGCTTCTTACAGAAACATAGCTTCCCATCATCAAATGTCACGGCACGCCACTGCCTTTTAGACACGTTAATTGAGGTTTATTACTGATCAAGCTACTTCTTTTGTGATGTTTATATATATAAGTTATATATACAGATATATATGATATCTGTATTAGAATGTTTAGCAACTGGTTCTAAACCATATTTTGCATAAATGCATAATTTGTTTTCATCGTCTACTTAAATCCAATAAATTGACTTTGCACATTTTGTCAAAATGCATTATAAATTTAGTTTTATTCTTTCCATGGACATGTTTCAAATTGACAGTGTCACTGAATGTTATGAAATGGATGATTTTAAATGGAAGTATTTGTTAGTTCTAATTACTTTTTTAATGTTATATTATGCATCAATTATATATAGTATTTCTATTAGAAGACAAATTGAAGAAAATCACAAAAATAATCATTTTCTGAAAAAATTGCAACTGATTTAATAATAATAATAATAATCCAAAAAGAAAAAAAAAACCAACAGTTTAATAACTCATTACAAGCAACTTTTTTAAATTTCCTTCAAAAAACTTATTCAAACTAATTTGATAAAACTTTCCTTTTATCAAATCATATATATATATTTTAATATAAATTCATATTTCTTGAATAAATGGTGTTTGTTTTTTTTTTAATTAAGAAATTATCATTAGAACTTTCCTTCACATAAGAATTATAGAATTTTTATACAAAAAAGGTATGTGTGTATGCATGTGTATGTATATATATATAATTTTTTATTACATAACATTATATATAAAATTGCTTTCTGATGGAGTAGTCAACTTGTAAAGGCCTCCAAAACAATTTGTAAGACAGTGATAAAAACAGTCCAGAGTATTTGTAAGACAGTGGTAAAAACAGACCAGAGCGTGGAATTTTCATCAGACTCGTGTGATCTCTTAGATGGTGATGGCACTGGTGGTGGAGGGGAAGAACCTGACGATAAATTTTCTGTACTGTAATCTTTGTACTCTTCTGGCGAATCGTCGACAATTACTTCGAGTTCATATATGCTGAAATCTTGAGAAGGATGACCATACACTCCAATAATTATTGGACGCTTGAATTCAAATGGCACATCAATTCTATCTAATCCACAAGTCACTGACTGTAAATTATGGTTTTCTATTTCAAATGTGGGCTGTTTTGTATGATCTGATATATACAAGTCACTATCTCCTTGAAGAGTATTTAGAATAATTGTAATGCTACCTTCTCTAGATAATGTGTAATAGCTATAGTTTCCAGCTCCAACTTTTCCAATCAGTTTTTCGTGGAACACAATTGTAGAATAAATACATGAAACCCATAAACATAGGTAGAGAAAAACAGTCATTATATATTTGGTACTCCAAACTTTTGCCATTGTTAGTAGTCATCTGAAACAAAAAAATAAATTATTATTCTTAATAATTTAAAAATTCCATTCATTTTCAATAAATAATGGAATTTTTCTATAAAATTCTACATTTTTTTCTCAATATAATAGTCTGGCAATTATTCAATATTTTTATTATAAGTGATTACCAAAAGAATAGTTTAGTAGAATAATTCAATAGAATAAAAAAAAATTCATACTGTATAGAATATCTTAAAAATAAAAACAAAGATATTAATTATACATTAAATTTTGTGATTAACCTATTGTAATGTCTACTGACACTAAGGTATTATAATTAGAATAGGATTTATCTAAATATATAAAATTACTTGTCCTGACTGACTGAGTCATCATTGTCCAGAGCAAACCACTGAACCTAAAGAGGTGAAATTTGGTACACAGTTAGGGTACATCATAAAAACGCACACTAAGAAGGGATTTTTCGAAATCCCCCCTGTTGGGGAGAGGGAGAGGATTAAAACTTAACCTGAAGAATGGCTTCTACTGTACTATTCTAGATGCGATTTTTTGTTTTCAATTATATTTAGTCTTTATGAGTACTTAGGAGTATTAAATTGATAAAAATATTTATAACAATGTCTGAAATGTTGTGTATTTTGATTTTTTAACCAAAATGTTCAAACCGTTTTAAATTTGAATTTGTTATTGCATATTGATTCGATTATAGAACGATTGTAAACACTCCAGAAAATTGATCAAATTGAAAACAGTTCGTTTGATTCTCAGCAATTCTCATCATTCTCAGCAGTAGGTGTTGTATAACAATTACTATGGTTGTTGAAATACTGAATATAAATGGTGTTTGCTGGCAAAATCCACACGAACGATGTCACAGGTAACAGCTAGTATTTTCATATATATGCGCTATAACATAGTTTAAACAGAAAAACATTTATTGAGAATATAATATGACAAAATCTAAATTATACTATCAAAAATTTATAATTGAAATAAACCGGAAATAGGTTCTAGAAGTATGATTTTTGAAATAAACATTTTTTCATTTTATAGCATTGATATAAAATATTGCAATTAAAAAGAAGCGTGTTGCTTTTATCTACTGAATAAAAAAAAAACATTTCTGGTATGATCTGAATTCTATATGATTACATTACACATTATACTATATATCTGTAAAACAAAATAATAATATAAAAAATTGATCTTAATAATATTTTTTGTATTTTACTAAAGAATAACACTTCAAAATAACAAAATTAATACAAAAACTTTTACACTCCATTATTTTATTAATAATTAAAAATATTTACACAGCTAACTCTTAGTTTTGTTTACTGATATTATTCTCTATATTATCAGCTAATTTAATGAATATAAACCACAATAATATCCAGCATGTATTAAGCTAGTTTCTATCAAAATGGCATGACAGTCACCACAATCTTTTTTCAATCTTTTAGAATAAATTTTTAATATCAAATGTAAAGTCAATTTGAAAAGCTTTAGAAATTCCATACAAAATAGTTCATGTAATGAAGCTATACTGTATATATTATACATTATCAAAGAAATTCAGATGATTGATCATAATGATTTATAAAAAAACAAGCACAAACTGAGATAAAGCTGCCAATTAATTTTTCTTAGAAAAACTTAAGGCAAAGGAATCTTTTTGTCCGTTTTTCTGTCTGTTCCACACTTGTAATTATCTGTGATATGACTTTAAAATTCAAATTAAGTGCATTTAATTATTTGTTTGCAACTAAATTTTTTATATTATACATATTGGCATAACTCGCATTATATTCAATTATGACAAAAACTGATTAATTTATAAATAAATTATGATAATATATATATTTTTTTATTCATCAGAAATGGAAAAAGTATGTAATATTACAATAATAATATTAACAATTTTATGTTATTAATAATTAATAAAAAAATATAATATTGTTTGAATTCATTATGTACTTTTCTTTGATTCAACTCTTGGCAAATATTCTGAATGTAGAATAATTCTCACTTCAAAAGTTATTTATAAAGGAAAAAAAATCAATTTAATGTAAGGATTTGAATTTGATGAAGAATCGTGTCGAGGTAAAACAAAGAAAAAAGAACAAAGATGGACATAAGAACACAACACACGTTTATTCTTTAGGAAGGACAAAAGAACAACTGCACCCTTAATAGGGTTCACATAAATCAGGTCATCTCATGGGCAGTAGAATAGAGGGCATGACAATACCAAGGTTACAGGTTACATTTTCAACTTACTAACATTTAACTTCTTTGATTTGAATAATATCTTGAAATTAAGAATTACAATATGAATGTCACAATGCTGGGCTGCAGTTTTTAATCATCTTTTAATTTAAAAAAAATCACATGACTTCCAGTCCAGACCAGAAGTTTGTATAAAATTAATTAGTCTAAGGCCCCTAAGCTTTCTTTATCTGATCTGGATTTTAGTGGTGTCTTGTCCCTGTACATCATATTTCTCCGTATAATAGTCACACCAGTCATGTATCTAACTCTATTCACAAGATTAACAAAGGATAGACAAGAAGATGACAGTGGGAATGTATAGGTCTGCAATTTGAAAACTGCAGCCCAATTAAACAAATTACTGCATTAAAAAATTAATTAATTAAATCCTTTAAATTGAAAAATTTCAATTTAAAAAAATAAGTTCAATATTTCAATGATGCTACATTAATTAATCTAATACTTATTATTTTTAAATTCTCATTTTATTCTTTCCCAATACTTTCTTAAACAAAATACCTCTAAATTTTGATATATTATCTGATGATATGGGGGTGCCACATTGCAATCAGTCCTACAAGAAAGCCCACTAGTGGCCAAGCAGTCTTCGTACTCTGAACACTGGGGAGTTCGACTATGGGTTTGCGCTGCACTTGGGCAGACTGGCCACGTGGAGTTTTCCAGGTTTTCTCCACGTCTGTAATGCCTAAATAGAGGTCAATTTCCCTTAAAAAGACCTCTTGGAAGGCATCTCCCCTAGGCAGATTGCCCAAAGTGTTGCATTGCCATAACTTAAAACAAACCTACCAGAAACTGACCAATAATAAGCTTGAATCTATTTCAGTTTATTACTATCAATAATTAGTTGTATAGACTTGACTTCTACATAAAACTGGCATTTGCTTGTTATGGTAGCCAATATCTATATATATATATATATATATATTAAAAGCAAAATGTTCTGTCCCCCTAAAACTGAAACCAGCACTTCACAAAGCAGCAGCATTTCAGGTCACACCAGGTCACAGGTGGGAGTGGGATCTACAATCTGTTCATCAAAAGGACCACCCTTTAACTTCCTCTGCAAACTAGCATGAATTCATGAAACAAAGGAAAAGAGGGTCTTTGTGTAAATTTAAAAATTAAGTTAAATGTTTTGAAATTTTCAAATTGTAAAATCAGTTTTTAAAAATGTTTTAAAACTTAAAAAAATTTTTTTTAAATAAAGAACTAAGTAAAAACTTATAGAACTCACAGCATGTAATAGTCACTTATAGAGGAAAAGGTGGTATTATGGAACACTGTGGGTATTATGGAACCACCCCATTTCGAACTGATGATAAAGGCGAACTGTAGCGGATTGTGGCTGAACTGAACTAGGCAGACATCCATAGCAAGGGGAAAACTCATTTTACTTCAGTTAAATGTCCGTATTTAATCAGCAAATTTGTTTTTTTTTTTCAAAATTTGCAAGTTTTGAATGCTAAGTGAATTTAATTATTTTTAAAATATAAATCATGTAGTTCTTCTCAATATCTGGTGTGGTAGCTGATGAATACACAGATTTAGTATGTGTCTCTTTAATCCGAATTAGTAAAAATGGTAGACTCTCTCTCAGCTATTAGGTTAGGTACTCCTTTATTGCAAATCACAAATGCATTTTGGGCCTATATGAGCCCCTCTTCAGTGTAAACGTTCAGAAGACAGTAACACTTTTCTAATTGTATGACACTCACAATGATATTTTATATAATCCAAAAAAAACACATTCATGTGTATTGAATGACACTATTACACAGGAGTTATCATTGTGAGTGTCATACAATTAGAAAAGCATTACTCTGTCTTCTGAGCATTTACACTGAAGAGGGGCTCATATAGGCCCGAAATGCATTTGTGATTTGCAATAAAGGAGTACCTAACCTAATAGCTGAGAGAAAGTCTACCGTTTTTACTAATTTGGATTAAAGAGAGACATACTAAATCTAAATAAATTGTGTAGTTGTAGGTTCACTGGTGCATGTATTCTGTTCCAGAGACTTAGGGGTACATATTAATCTGTGTGATGTTCACATTTTTTAAATTTTGGTCTTGACAGACATAAGCTAATTCAAGATGGCGATGCATGAAATATGGACCCCATTGGTGCTTTTACAGTAATATGGAACTCAACTCCTCCGAACTCTGTCTTTGCAAGCAGACATTTCGTCCAGAGCAATTTATGAAAAAGACACTAGGTAGAAAGTCAATTCTTCCTAGAGAATATCGAAAAAGAGCTGCTGGAATATATATTGTTGATGGAGGTCATTTTTCTATTAAAAAAGCACTTTTGCGATAAAATACATTGGAGTAAACAATTTTGTAATAATTTAACATTTTTTGTACTTTCCTATTTGTTTTTGGCTACATTAAAGCATTTTTTGAAAATATATAGTAAGGTTCCATATTACCACCTGATTTTCTCTAAGCCTACTTTGACTTTTTGTACAAAACCTTCAAAAACCATACTTATAGTTACACTAGCAAAAAATCCAATTAGGAACATTTAGTTTAATAGTTACCAGTACTTTTTGCACAAAAAATGTGGGTGTAGTTATGATACCTTGTTTATAATTCACTAAAATGTAATTGGGGTTCCATAATACCACCTTCTCCTCTATATGAAACTTATAGTTGGTCTTATGTGACCTCAGTAGTTTGTCAACCAAAAAGTTAATTAATTTTGTTCAGCAGTGAGACAGCAGAAAC